CACCATCAATGATTTTATTTTTATCACTTGAAACAGTACAAATAGCTGAATCAGTTAAATTACTCTGAATATCCCAAGTGAAATCTTTAAAACTAATTTTTACTCGAAAAATTTCACAAAAATTCATACCAAAAATCATTGTGTGTGGCAACGAAGGTACTACTAAGGCAGTAATTATTTTACAAGTATCTTTAATAAAAATAGGTAAGTCTACTTTACCTATCACTGACTGTGATTTACCATCTGCAGTGTTAATATTTTTAATATGATCTTTCTGACTAATTTTAATATTTAGTTTATCTAATATTGTTATACCTTCTTTACCAATGACAGAAGTATTAGCTCCACTGTCTAATAAAACAACTAAGGGTAAATCGATTAACTTTACTTCTATGTATGGCCTGTTGTCGTTTTCTTTATGAATGCAAAGGGGTGAAATTTCTTTATTGCCTCTATTTTTATAAAAATCTTTAACTTTACATTTCCATAGTGTCCATTCATTATTATCAAAATAGTTTACTGAAAGAGGACTTTTGCTGTTGGCTTGCGAAAGTTGGTTACTAGGTGAACTCTGGCCAACGACATAATCACCTATTGTACGTTTTTTGAACATTTAGGACATTCTTTTATAGTGACATTATTTTCACCACACTTAAAACAATATTTTCTAGAAATAGGAGATCTACAATTTCTATGAGTATGATTTGCTAAGTTACACTTCCAACAAACTACAGATTTTTTAATTTCATTAGGATTGACATTACTAGAATTACTATCTTTTTTAAAATTTCTATAAGATTTATTAACATAAGTATTTTTATTATTTGAAATTCTTTTAGTTTCTTCAAAAGGTTTAGATTGACTTGAACTTTCAGAGACATATGCTAATTCAGATTCTAAATAAAAATTACTGGAACGACTAGTCGAACATAAACTTAAAATATCAGCTTCTTCAAGCTTTTTACACAATGTACCTAATTCATTAACAGAGTTAATATCATGTAATGCTAGTCTCTTCCTATATTCTGGTTGTAGGCCATTACGAATATGTTTAATTTTTGTTTGTTCTATAGGAGGACGTGATAGTCTAGTGAATAAAGTTTCCATACAAGCAATATATAATATAACAGGTTCTGTTTTACCTTGAAAACGTTTTTTGATTTGTTCCCACAAATCATCATCAATATCTGAACTTAAAAAATCTTGTTTTAACTTAACTACAAGAGATTCCCAATCGGTTACAAAAATTTTTATGTGACGATACCAAAATTTAGCTTTTTGTGAAAAAAGTTCACTAGCTGATTCAAAAAGTTGTACCTTACTAATATTTCTAGAGTGAGCTAACTCTTCTACATTTTCTAAAAATGATAAAAGTGACTTAGGGTTGCCATCAAAATTAATTCCTAACTTATAAACTGGTACTGTTTTATTCTGAATAGTAGTAGGGAAAAATGTTGAACTCATTTGAGCATTTTGAGATGTATTAAAGCTAGATGGGGTTAGATTAATCTCTGGATTTATTGTTTGAATTTTCTCGTGTAATTCTGCCTCTAAATGTAAACAAGTTGCGTGAAATTCATTCTTTATAACTATTTTAGCCTCGTAATCAGGATCTTCTTTATCTAATTTTAAATGTGCTCAATTCTAGTACTAATTCTTTTAAAAGCAGAGTCAGACTCTGGTCCATCAAATTCATTTATTAAAATTTGAATTGATTCTATCATTTCGTCAATTTCTATTCTCTCTGTATTAAAGTCAAAATCGGGATTTGCCAAAGAAAGAACATCTATGTTATTTTGTCTCTCTGTTTTTAAGAGACGACCTAAAATTTTGCGTTTATCTGCTACTGGGCGAGCGGAAACTACTCCTCTAATTTTTAACTCATAGTCCAACTCCTTACTTAACAAATAAACTACTTTAAAATTTGAATCCATTTTTGGGACGAACAGATAAGATATCAAATTAACTAAAATTTACTAATTTTTGAAGTACATGTACTATTCAATTTTAAAACCAAATAATTTTTGTTTTAAAAATTCTATTATTATTCACCTTTATTCAAATATGGCTAAATATACTGAAATAGTCACCAAATTATATCCAAAAAATTATTTCAAGACACTCTGTAACATATATCACAAAATTATTTCTACGGAATAACTAAAAATGTTTATTACCATCAATAATTTACCTAAATCCTAATTTTACCATAAACCTAAGTTTCTTTATTTTCCAAAAATGTACCTCAACCTTTGTAATCTGTATTTCTATAAGTGACTGAATTGTTTGTTTCTTATGGTCCATAAATTTTACAATTATACAGTTTATTTGAAATTCCTAAAATTTATTACTTGTACTCAAAAAAATTGTGTCTTTTACAAAACGCTGGTCTAAAAATGTGACGTTGGGCTTAACATGTTTGTCCTTTAACACGTTGAGCGCCAAATGTGTGCCGCACTTTTTCTGAGATGTCTGATTTTTTAAAAAAAATAGAAATTTGAATATTATAAATTTTAAGTGCAACACACTGCGAACGGCAGCTTTTCAGTCTGGAGAGCTAGGGTGAATTCGGAATTAAATCAATGTGTTTGAGTAAAGTAATAATGTCGAGCGCCATGCAACTTTAATACAATAAATGTCAATATCAAACTATACGACTAAAACTTTCCCAAGTTGCAAAATTTAAAGTTACTTACAATGATATTGATATTGTTTGATATTAACCAATATTCAAATAAACTTTTAAATAAACAATGATTATGAACTTTTCTGAAAAGGGAAAATTTATGTACCAAAAAAAAAAAGGAAACGAAACAACTTATTATGTCACTCTCAATTTATTTACAAATTATATTTAAAATAGAGTTACTGGTTTATCTATATGTAAATGATGACCTTTCAAACATATTACCTATGTTTATCAACTTAACATTCTCAATAAATGAAGTTAATGTTTAAAATTGTGATTTTTAAATTATTATAGTTAATTAGAAAATATGTATAATATTGAACAAATATTAATACGACAAAATAATTAAAAATAGTGATTTTTAATTATTATAGTTAATTAGAAAAAAATATATAATATTAAATAAATATTAATACCACAATACCTTTCATAGCTATGTTCGGTTTACAACCTTTAATATAAATTAAATAACTTTATGTTCCAAATTATATACCAAATTATAATCATCAGTTGTGTTATATTTAAATTAAATAGTTAAATAAAAAAATGTATTACTAAATAAAACCTGGTTTGGTGAACTCGTGGTTCGCTCACTGGACTTAGATCTTTCGGTAACAGATCTCGGGCCGGTTACTGGTAACAAATAGGTTGACTCCATTTGTGGCGGATTGTCCAAAGGAAAGGTACAGTTGAATCTGGTCTTGGATGAAAGGTACAGCTGAATGTAGTTGTAAGCAGCAAACTACGTCTCGAAAAATACTCAGCTGGACTTTGAAATGTGGTAACTCATACATCGTGAAGACGAAACCAAATGCGGCTATTACAGCTATTCCAATATAAATTGATGCAATAATTGATTATGGATATCTCCATATAAATGAGTACTTCAGAAACCATCAAGCGATGTAGTACAAAAAACATGGAAGGCGTGCTTTCTACCGGACTATGTCCCAGTGTAGGTCCCTGATAAAAGAAATACGGAAATAATATCTATCCAGAAACGTAAGAAGGAGATTCGTGAAAGAACCTGAGAAAATTATTGAATAAAAACTCACCTATTAAGGGATGACAAAACTAACACTAGCCTTCACACGAAAAGATGTGACTCTTGCGGCTTTTCAAACAGAAAGGAACGAACTTGCAAAATGGCTATTCAAAGTTCCAGAAAGGCACAAAAAATTATCTGCGTTATTTTGAATTTTGAAATGAATTTAAACAAAATTTGAAATAATAGCTTTTGATTGGTTAAAATAAAAATTTGTATACAAACGAACGAATGTACGCAATAACAGTTCTAACTAGGGCCACTCAGTAACAAATGACATGCATTCACGAAGTAGTGCAATTTATCAAACTAACAAAAAGAAGAACTGAAGAAGTGACATAACCTAACTATTCGAATCAAACAATATAAACAATAATTAGATATTATAAAAAGAATGCTACCAGAATTGAATTATATGCACAACAAAACAATTATAGATGGTAATGTATTGTAAAGTGATTAAACAAAGTTATTTTATTGTGATTTATGTTTCAGAGCTTAATCTAAATACTATTGAACAATTTTTAGTATATAATAGTTATCAAATCAAATACATGAAATTGTCTTTGAGAAACATTCCACAGAAGTGAAATACTTTAGTAGTTACGACTCAAGCTAATTGTTTTATATTAATAGTAATGAAAAGGTTAGTACATGTAAATACATTCTTTGTAGATTTAAATAAAATATTCTTGTGAAAATATAAATGCTACAGACTAAGTAGTGATGTTAATTTGGAAAACTCATTAAGTGTAGCAACGACATCAATCAGCAAAGCAAAAGCAATCGCAGGTTTCAAATTAAAATTTTTAGTTATCTTCATCTTATTTGTTTTGTTTGTAATCCAACACCAACAGTGTTTAAGGTTCAAATTGTTTATTTGTCAGAATGCCTATTTTAGCTTTCTTTTATAAACTAAAAACTAAATAATTTCTTGAATCGTACTTCTAAATCAGATTTTAGATTTTTATTGTTGCCCGGGGCCCATATAAAAAATGGCATGCCTGCTGTAAACAGATTGTACTAATTTTTGAGAGAAAAGAAATAAGAATTATGAGTTTCAGTAAAACCCTACATTTCGAAAAATGGTTCCTCTTCGTTTTGTTCAGTGTATGTTGGAAAGGTGTTGAGGGGTATACCATTGGCTTATTAAATGGTAAAACGGTTTTTCTATTACCTATATTAAATTTATTAAAACGATTATTATTTTATTTACACTTATTTGTTTAATTATAAATATGTATCATTTAAAATTTAATTATTTTACTCCTAACTCGACCATCCTATCTATCAATTTCCCCAAATACAACGTCCAGTGTACCAATAATGGCCACGATATCAGCCAACATGTGGTTCTTTCCTATTTTATCCAAAGCAGCTAAATGTGCAAATCCTGGTGCTTTAATTTTGCACCTGTATGGCTTAGAACTTCCATCGGAAACAAGGTAGACACCAAATTCACCTTTAGGAGCTTCGATAGCTGTATAGGTCTCACCAGGAGGTACCTGGTAACCTTGGGTAAAGAGTTTGAAGTGGTGGATGAGAGCCTCCATCGAAGTTTTCATTTCCGCTCGGCTTGGAGGAGTTAACTTAGCATCGTCAGTTTTAACCTCACCAGCTGGCATTTGATTGAGACACTGATCTATGATTCTTAAAGATTGTCTCATTTCTTCAATACGACACAAGTACCTGTCATAACAGTCTCCATTTACACCAATTGGTACATCAAAATCAACCAAATGATAAGCATCATAGGGTTGTGATTTGCGCAAGTCCCATTTGATACCAGAACCTCTCAACATGACACCACTAAAAAATAAATAACAATATATTTAGTATTAGGAAAAAGGAACAGTAATTTTCAAATAAATTACCAATTAATTTAAAATAAAGATACACATAACTAATAAATGGTAGGAGTTTTAAACAGTTTTACCTAAAACCGTAGTTCAAAGCATCTTCAGCAGAAATGACACCAATATCTTTGGTTCTTTGTACCCAAATTCTATTAGTAGATAGAACATCTTCAACTTCGTCTAATCTCTCATTATATTTCTCAGCAAATTCATAAATATCGTCTAAAAGACCTAATGGAAGATCCTAAAACAAAAATATATTTTTATTATTGTTATCTAAAAATATCTTTGTGTAAAGTTTTCCTAGGATTTCTTTCCTTTTTTGTTTAATTTTTTTATTATATATACTGTTTAATTTTATTATAATTTATCTTTTATTCTATTTTGACTTAGTTTTACATTCACATTTGTCTTATGTTCACAATGTATATAATATTCACATTTGTCAATGAATTGTAAAAGAAAAAATACCTGTAAGGGTTAAAAGTTAAATCTGTGTTTTGCTGGAAACATTTTTCACAAATTTAATTTTATTTTTTCTGAATATAAAAAATTTGAACATTTTCAAAATAATCGAAACTTTGCTAATTTTAATATATCTATCAAATAAAATCAAAAGTATTTCTTAGTGGTTTCTATATTGTTTACTAAAATTTGGTGTTTTCCATAAATTTTAAATAATTTCTAATATTTATAAAATGTGCTATCTCTGGTTTAAGCTAAAACAGCTTATAATTTATAATATATATCAATGCACAAAAATAATGCATGAAAACTGCACAAAATTATAAAGTAATACATAGGGTGTGCTAAAATTGGTGTGTTAACTTTATGTACCTCATGTTGCAAATAATTTCTTTAATTTGACACTATAACAAATAATATTGCAAAACGCAAGTCAAACATTAAAATGAATCTGTTTTGGTCAATGATTATATTGTATATTAAAGCCTACTCTTGAGATTATTTTGATATTATACTTACTAAAGCTACTCCTCCTGGTCTGATATAGGCAGCATGCATACGAGCTCCAGAAACCCTTTCATAGAATTCCATCATCTTTTCACGCTCTTCAAAGAGCCAGAAGAATGGTGTCAAAGCTCCAACATCAAGGGCATGTGTACCAATTCCCATAATGTGATTTAAAATCCTAGTTAATTCAGCAAATAGAACTAAAAAATAAACTAGAATTAATTGATATGAAGGAATAATAACAATTAATATTTAGTTTGTCGGTGAGAATGAAAATCTCTTTCACATAATATTTTATAATAAATGACATGTTGTTTGCGTTAGGTTATTATTAACAACTTTGAGCCCTTTATTTTTGGAATTTAAAAATAATAGTTATTTATTTACAATAGTTCTTTTGCATCAAAATATAAATTAACTAATTATTCTAAATTATGTGTGTCCTACCTATTAATCTTTTAGTTCTGGAAGGTAAATAATTACTCCATTACATAATTTAAAATTGTTTCTTTAGAAAAAACAATAAACATTTATAACTTGCAAAAAAAATAATTTAAATATGAAACTAAAAAGTTTACCTCTTATATATTTAGCTCTCAATGGTACATCAATGTTCAGCAATTTTTCTATTGCTAAACTATAGCACTGCTCGTTGCACATCATTGATACATAATCCAATCTGTCAAAGTAAGGTAGAGCTTGTGTATAGGTCTTGTATTCGATTAGTTTTTCTGTTCCCCTATGCAACAAACCAATATGTGGATCTGACCTTTTTACTAACTAAAAAGTAAATGTTGGGTTTAAGCCTTTTCTTTCTTATTTTTGTTTCAACTAAAACAACCTAACTTTTCTAATCTTTTTACTACTGAAATCAGGGCCGTTCCAGCCATATGTGCGCGCCTTCGCGCAAAAGGCGACGAACGTATTTTTGTATTTTTACCAATGTCTGAAAAACTAGTTAGAAAAAATATGCCTATTTGAGCCCTGTATGCTAAAATTATCATTAATCACAAGTAGATAATAATATCTAATATTTATCATCTATAAAGTCAAACATTACTTCTTTAAATTTATTGGCCCCAGCCTATTGAGTATTTTATTCTATTACCCATTGTATTTAGAGAAGATAGTAGAACAACCTTATGGACGTTTCATTGGAGGCAATTCTGTCGCGACATCTGTTAGAAATTCATCAAAATAGCCCGAACGCTAGCACTGCCTCGATCATTGAGTACAGAATTCTATATACATAAAATTTTCTTAATTTTTAAATTCATATGGGTAGAGTGCTAAATTTAAATTACTATTGTTTATATTCTCTAAAATGATAATAAACCGTAAATAAATGTTCAACAAGCATAATTAAACTCGTATATTCCATTTTTAAAACAAATATTCTGAATCGATTATGGGCCCATCTATTAGTAAATAGAGAAATTACGTTCGTTTCGTAGACGACAAAATTATCAAAGACATGACTTGGACACCACGGAGCTTGCTGCCATCTATTGATACTGTCCATTGTCCTCCAAGATAATTTGAATTGGTATTGTTTTACTAGTTGATCTAAATACAATGCTATTACTAATCGCCGTGCCCCCTCACTATATTTCCTAAGTGTATTCCTGTCATCTGGCCAAACGAGTCGTCTAGCCCTCCTGGCCTCTAGCAATAGTACTGCAGTTTTTTTAATAAGAATTCATTTTCATTAGTGCATTAGCTTTTGTCTTGTGAAAAAATATCGGTGTGACTTCCGAATATTTTTTTGGTAAAAATGTTCTGTATCATATGTCGCTGGTGTTAGAAGAATTGGGTTCTTTTGTAGAAATAACTAACGAGTCATAGGTAGTAGAAAAAGAAGTGTTTTTAATTTACTATTTTCACTGAAGTAAATACATAGTGGGTGATTCCATTTAGATATAATAATTTTCTTATCTTCACTTAACAGTTTTAAATATTTACAATTTTAGTTCATCACAATTTGATTAACTAATATAGTTGATTTTTTAGTTACCAACTTGACAACATTTTTTTGTAGAATTTCTTATGCCATAATAATTGTAGAAGATATAACTTTCACCAGAAAATAAAATGCATTAAACGCTTGTAAAAATGTAGAAAGTAACGTGCCGTTGGCAGAAAGCACCTGGCAAAGACAACTGTGAGCGATGATGGCAAAAAGACAACTGAATCGTTGGTGGCAATAAGACAACTGAGCTCCGCGTCGAGCTCACCCTAATATATACTGTTGGGATGAAATGAGTGTCCGGGGCATAGTTGACGCACCTATTCGGTTTCAACCAATGAAAACATCATGACATAATGAAATACGTCATTTGTGTTTCGTTAACTATGCGCCGGCCACTCATTTTGTTCACCTGCACAGCTGTGCACACAGGTGTTCGACGTTCGGTATTCTGAGAAAAATGCTATTTATAGTTTTATGACTTCACATTATATTAGGGTAAAAAGCAGTCGAACTATTTGAGAATTGTTTATTTATTTAGTAGATGTAAAATATTAATTTGTTGATGTTTTTACTGGTGAAATTGTAGAATTTAACCATCTTGAGTAATAGAGCAAATCGATTCAGTTTAAAAAGATATAACTATTTGAAATTTTGTTCTTTTTTGGAAGCTGAAAGTGTTAGTTCCATTAAGTAGCCTGAGATATAAGATAATATAATATAAAGTATAAGTATAAAATTAAAGTTGAGGTAATATTATGTAGATCTGAGGTAATATTATGTAGATCGTAATTATAAATTAATTAGATGAAAATGTCATATTGTATGATTTTTTAGATGTCTAAAGAAGCTAAAAAGAAACTTTCTGGTTACCAAAATCTAATTAAACAACAAAAACGGGAGGAGGTTTTGGAAAATACCAATAATAAAATTAGTTTTTCAAAAGAACCCTGTGGTTCTACTTTAAAGGCTTTGGTAAAAAATGATATTGATGATAATAAGGAACCATCGACATCAACATGTTATGTTGAGAAAACTGTAACTCTTATCGAAGCTGATGAACTTTTTGATAGTAAAACTGTACAACTTCTGTCAAACTTATTATAACAATAATTCAAATTGCGTTTTTTCAAAAGAGAAGATGGGGTAAACATTTTTTGAATCATACTTCACTCGAATTTTGCCAAATGAAAAAATCAAGCATGATTGTCTTCAGTGTTTTGTTTTTGTTGCAGAATATTTAACACTAACACTGACAAGGCCCAATTGACTGATGAAAATGGCTACATGATTGGCAACATTTGAGTGAACATTTATATATTCAGATTAAAATTTTAAAACATGGTCTGACTGTTTAACTAGATTTAAAATAAACAATACGATTGATTTAACTCAGAAATATTCGTTTATTGCTGAAATTAAATATTGGCATGCAGTTATTAATAATAATAATAATAATAATAATAATAATACTCTCCCTAAGTGAGTGAGTATTCTGTTATTCAGTTTTTAGCTAAACAAAATCTGGCCTTCCACGGTAAAAATTTGAAGTTGTTTCAAAATAATAACAGTAATTTCTTGAAATGTGTGGAAATAATTGCCAAATTCTGTCCTATTATGGATGAACATACTAAAAAGGTACAAATGCAGGCCAAAAAAATTAATCATTATCTTGGCAACCAAATTCAAAATGAAATTATTGAAATAATAGGCAATAATTTAAGAGAAAATTCCACACCTGTAATTTTGAACCAATCAAAATACGTGTTTTTGACAGATCACCATGGCAACGGAGGTATTTTAGTGGAAATTTTTTTCTCGTGGGGTACCCAACAGCGAATTATACTGGACATTTTTTGACGTTTACAATAACAGACCATTTTTGACAGACTGGTTTTTATTTGTTCACATAATAGGTTTAGTTTTGATACAGTTTAGTTACAATGCTAAGGTGTTTTCTATATTCTTCGGCCACTTCTTTTCTTCTTAATGGCGAAAATGCAGGACTTTGGATGCTTTGAATTATGTGTCTATGTCTAATAAAATATATATAATATTTAAACACTAATTTATTCAACTTTTTCTCATTCAGCACTTTGAATTTTGCGTAGTTTAGAAGCAAATATTCGTGGACAATTCGGAACAAATTTTCGTTTTTCAAGTTGGAGCCACAATCCTCTATTAATCCGAGTAAGTAAGTCATGGTGCAATGATTGATCATTACATGAGACAATTTCACGCATATTTTGCATAGCGTATGAATTTCAAATCGATTCATTTTTAAACAAATAGGTAATTTTGTTGGTTTTACTTGCTGTGCAATATTCTTTATCGCAACAAAACGCGAGTTATTTAATGTTTTGAACTGTCAAAATACAATGATCACAGCCTCCTACGATTGATGCTTGCTGACGCTGGTTATGAATTTCATACCATTTTAAAGCGCTCATAACGCATGTTAATAAAAACGCAGAAAAACAATTTTCTACCACTTGTAGTTATTCAAAACTTACGTAAAATTAAAGAATATACTATTTTCTATTTTCAAATGGTATTCCCATGCAACTACAATGAGTAGAAATAAGCAATTTGAAGGCCTAAATAATTGCAGCGAAACATTTTTTTACGTCGGGCCGCTTGACAACTTCAAAACTGAAATTATATTCGAGGTTAGGGTCTCACTTAGTTACCATGACAACTCAACAATCAAGGCGACAACACCTTTTATGTTTCACTGGTGACTTGGAGAAAATAATTTGCATTGTTGAGAAACGAAAAATAAATTTTAAAAATATTTAATTTTCAACCATAATTCGGCGTGGAATTTTCTTACCGAATACCACGCGAGGTCAAATTAATATCAGGAAATTTTTTGACCTCTAGTGGTATTACTAGTGAAAATATTTTAAATATGGGTCAAAATTCAAAATAGTTTTCTATTATTCTTGATTGCACTCTGGACATAGCCATCAAGAACAAATTTCTGTCTGTATCAGGTTTGTAAATTTAGAATCAACAACAGGAGAAATTGTTGTTAAGGAAAGTTTTTTACATTGTGCTTCAATAGAAGACACAATAGCTGAGGATTTAAAAACAATCTACTAAATGCTTTAAAAAAATATAATTTAACTTTATAAGATATGAGAGGCCAGGGATATGAAAATGGTGCCAACATGGGAGGCAAGCATGTCGGTTTACAAAAAAAGATTCTCGATTTAAATTAGAGATGAAACGGATATCCGGAAACTATCCGGTAATCGGCCTATCCGGCCTAAATTTAATATCCGGCCGGATGTCGGATAGTAGCTTAATATCCGGCCGGATACCTACCGGATATTCAATAATTACGACACAATTCGTGACAATTCCCTGAAATCAACTTATGACTTGCTTTTATTTAAAGCTGAAAAAGTTACAAAAACACAAAAAGTCACAAAGAACAAAAAAAAATAACCTTCTTCTGAAAACCTAAAACTATCTTTTAATAGTAAAAATTATTAAGTGGTAAATTATGGTGAATAAAGATCAAATTTTCAGAGTTTGCAGGCAACAGTCGATTTCGCTTGTTTTCGTACACCAAGCCATCTTCGAAAAACAGTCTCTCGCTATAAATACTGCTGCAAGGAGCTGAAAGGTACATTTTGGCAAACTTGGTTAAATATGGATAGTGTTTCGAGTTAACTGACCACCAAGTGTAAGGGTCGCGGCTGCGATCAATTCGAACTGTCTTCAAATAGTAGTCGATCTCGTTTCCAATTGAGTTTTTTTTCCTGATCGCGACATTGACTATTGTTTTCATTTGCTACTTCATCAA